ACAGCGCTAGCCTGGCAAGCGTGAGATCATGAGTTTGATTCCCAGTACAAAAAAAAAAAAAAAAAAAATTAAAAAATAAAAAAATAAGCCTCTCTCTACTCTTCTCTACAGATATTTCTCTGCTTAAAAAGAAAACACAATCTTGTGTTTGAATATTACTTCTTTTTCAGCAATCCTGTACATGATTCTTCCTGGGATGGATAATTCTTGAATAATCAGTCTCTCTCTTTATCTCCCCACCCGGCTCAGACAAGACTGTTCTGTTCTAGGCTGCTGATAAACTATGAAGCCCAGACAGGGCTCAAACTTGTGACCCTCCTGCCTCAGCCTCCCAGAGTGTTGGGATTGCAGGTGTACACCACCATGCCCAGCTCTTGTTTGCACTTTTGTCTTTCAGCTTCAGGCCTAACAAACTTGGATCTGTCCCTCATACAAAAGAAGTTCCTCAGAGTCTGTTTTCCCCTACAGAGATAACAAGATGGAGCAGGGGACGGCGCCTACCACTTGGTCACAGTTAAGGATAAAGCAAATTGTGACACGGAAACTCTCTTTGGGGATGACCAATGAGGGTACGTCCGTCGCCAGCCTCCACGTCTGGGCCTCATGATAGGTTCAAGAATTGGCAGTTTGGACAACGTAATTAAGAGAAGATTGGGGGCTGGGGATTTAGCTCAGTGGCAAAGCGCCTGCCTGGCAAGCACAAGGTCGTGAGTTCGGTTCCCGGTACCGGAGAAAAACCAAAAACCAAAAAAACAAAAACAAAAAAAAAGAGAAGATTATTACATGTTAACAGTAAGGATTATAAACAGAGTGCATATTTGTTACTGTAGAAGAAGGAATTAATGCCTAAATTATTATTATTATTATTTTGTGTTTTTTTTTTTCCGGTACCGGGAATCGAACTCACGACCTTGCGCTTGCCAAGCAGGCGATGTGCCGCTGAGCTAAAGCCCCAGACCCCACTGCCTTAATTATTAATATCTTAATATTAACTAAGGTATAAATGTCTGCTATTCATGCAGGACATGAAGATCAAAGATGGGGTTTTTTTTATTTGGCTTTGTTTTCTTTCTTCATTGCTGGCGATTGAACCCAGGGCCTTGCACACGCCAGACGGACCAGGTTATTTATTTACTTGTTTGTTTATTAGCAGTACTGAGGATTGAACCTAGAACCTTTGCATTAAGCAAGACAAAATACCCTTTTTTTTCCTTTTGAGACAGGGTCGCCCTAAATCACTAAATTGCCCAGGCGGGGCTGACATTTGCAATCTTCCTGCTGCCTCGGCCTCCCAGAGTGCTGCGATCACAGTGTGCCCCACCGAGTCAGGCTGGGATGCCTTAAACGCAAGGGTGAGGACAGTAGGGGCAGTTGTCATGAAGGTGTAAATAGCTGCACGTGGAAGTGAGGGAGGCCCCGTCAGCACCCGCGGGAGCCTGGCCTGGCCCCAGACGGGCGAGTTCTCACCGTCGCTGCGCCAACTTCCCGGCTTGCGGGCGCCCCGCGGCCCGATCTGC